TTATATTCATGTGTAATAATTTGTTTTTAAACTATAGCATGCTTTGCTAATCTGAATTAATTACTGTACAGAAATGGTCAGATTATTAAAAAGTAGATTAATGGGAATTATATATAAAGGAAAGAAAGTCAAATCAAAATTTAGTTTTGGTTTTGCAGTTTCTGAGTCATTTTGTTTTATGATTTTGTCATAAACTTGAAAGTTTGTAAAAGAACCAAAAAACATATTTAATGGCACTCTTCCAAGAAGATTTCATTAATCTGTTTAATTAATATATGATGATACATATTTTACTTGATTAATTTATAATTAAACAGAATTTAAAACTTGATACATTTTATAATTAACTTGATATAAATACAGGTATACCTCGCCTTACGTCGGTAATTGGTTCCAGGAAAACGACGTAAGTCGAAAAACGGCGTAAGTCGAATTTACTTGTCTCCGAATCTACTTATCACTAGGCTAAACCATAAATTACCATTCCCGGTTCTGTATTTTATTTATTAATGCATTTTTAATAATATATGGTTAATAAAAATCTATTTTAAGCGTACAAAAACAAATAAATACAGTACATACTTGTATATATTTTAATATGATTTTATGTGCTTTAAACGTTCATTTAGTGATATTACGACTTCAATATTTGTGGCGGACAGACGTAAAGTCGAATGAAATGACTTAAACTTGATTTTTATTTTTCCATATACTTTTTTAACAAGCGACGTATAATCGGGAACGACGTAAGTCGAGGTATGCCTGTAGTTAAAGGAGGGGGAGTGGAATTTGGATTAATGGAGGTTAATTGTATGATGTTGAAGTTAGCTATAATTTTATAAATTATATATTGCAGTTAGTATCACAGTTAAAAATCTCTTACATTTATAAGTTATATTAATTTTTTAAAATTATATTAGTGATGGTCCTAATTTAAAATGATTGGTAAAGCTATGAAAAATATATCAATATATTGTCATTAGATTATATATACAAAATTTAAACATTAAAACAATCTCCAGAAGACATAATGAAGCTAGTACAAACAAATAGTTATTACTTTCAAGCAGATTAAGGATGATAAAGAAATGGTTATTATGTATTTTGTAAACTTAACAATTAAAATATGAAAATATAGTAAATTATTAATTCATAGTCATATTTATTATAAAGGGCATGCATATTTGTCTTAATTTCATTAATTACAATAGTGGCTGCTCTGTTTTTATGCACTCTTTATACAAAATGAAAGAAGTGAACATATTTTGTGTGTAATATCACTGATTGTATTTTATGTTAGTACTTTTGGCTATTTTTATACATTGCAATTAACACAGTCAGTTTTTAGTAACTAGATTATATTGATGAGAAAGCAGATGGATCTGATATTGATAATTTCTGTAATAGAAATAGATATAATTATTAGTATTATACAATATTTGTTTTTTCATGACAACAAAGTCTATGGAATATTCAATAGATCATATATAAGTCTAGGATGACAAAATAATGTATCAAAAAGTTTTTTCAAATATTATCATATTTGAAAAAACTTTATGATATATTATTTTATAGTAGCAACACCTAGGAAGTATCAATATGCTTAGTAAACAAGTGCATTTTTTATGACATAATAATTAACTTAATTAAATGAATACAAGATGATTGATCTAAGCAAGGACCAGAAGCTTTTTCTTGTTTAAGCATGTTATCCTAATGATGAACAGATAGCCAGAGCACTTAGATCATTTCATACCAAGTGGGACATTTGATGCCAATAAGAATATTTACGTACAAAACACATTTTCATCTTGATGGCTATGTTAATAAGCAAGATAAGCTTTCAATTTTGGGGAACATTGAATCCACGAGTCACTGTGTCCAAGCCAGTGTATCCAGTGAAGATAACAGCATGGACAGCAATTATGTCGAGTGCTGTATAGTTAAATTTCATTAAGACTCACGGGTCCATATATAAAAGTTTCTTGGAAACCAAATTTTTCCTTTGGGCAAGGAATTATTTTGTCCAGAAATATCACTTTATACAAGATTGTGCTACTCTCCACAAGATGCATTTGAAAGTATTTTCAATACAGATTAGGATTATGTTATTGGATTAGGTTATCCAAAATTTGTGGGTAGTGGGGTTAAAAAGTTAGTGCTTTACTTTTTGATGTATATTTATCACCCTGTGTAAGAAAAATATTGTTAACAATATTGGTTTGTGGTTCAGCTATAGCTTTGGGATTCCAAAATGTCTGAAGAAAAATATTTTCTGAAAAAAAATATATAGAATAGAAGGATACTAGGAGAGAGAGAAAGAAATAATTGAGCTGTTCACATGCTAAATTGACTAACTACGTTTGTAAATCCTTAATATAATTGTTATTATTTTCAAATTTTTTGCATAACTAATTTTATATATCATTATATTAAAGCATAGCTATAATATAACAATATATAAAAATATGTTCTGCAATGTTTATTTAAATTTAAAGTTTAAAGGAAATTTTAAAAACTAATTTATATTATCAATTTTTATACTTTTTTTGTTTTGTGGAGTTAATCAATTTGGCAAGTGAACAGCTCAATTATAAAGCAGTTATAGCAGAATATCAAAGCATTCAAGAATCAAGTTTGCATTATAGTACTGTATGTTCTAATAGTAACTTCAAAGTAGAAATAAATATAAATAATAATTTGAGATATCTGCAACAACTGTAACATATAAAAATGTCTGATTTTTATTAGTGACAAAATTACAGGTTCTGCTAATATTTTTGTGGTTTGTTGGTTACATTGACAATTGAAGGAAATGCTAGTTTTAATTAATGAAAGTAAAGGTGTAATTTTTTACAATAAGGAAGTAAATATCTAAGCTTATGAACTTCTGGAATATATCTATGGACTTAAAATTAAAAACCTCTGCTCCAGATAAAAAAAATTAATTAAAAATTACTGTTAGAAAGAGAAAATTCTAGAGTTTTATGTGGCTGCTGATTGGCATCATCCACGTGCTGCATTCAATGGATCCAGACATGCTCACAAAAGTTTGGGATGAAATTCACTAACGTTTGGGCATATGCCATGCATCCAAAGAGGTCATATTAAGCACCTATGATTTAGTATGTAAAAAAACTTGAAGATTAGCCCTGTAATATAAACATTTTAAATCAGATGATTCTTTTTGAAACCTCCTGTATTATAAATTGAAGTACGTGTGTTTCAGAATTTGAGTACATCTCTATCACTTTAGATATTTTTATAACTTATGAAAGTCAGAAGTAAGTTTTCAATTTTTGTAAGAATATTTATTGAAGATAAAAACTAATAACAAACCAAAAAAAGTTTAAAGTGTTTAGTGAATAAAAAAATAAACTATGAGAGTCACGACTTGGTGCATTTATCGACACTTGGCAAATAATTCCATCATCTATTTTTAATTCATACAGAAACGCATTTCGGGCTTTCGCCCCTCTTCAGTCTGTTACATCGATAGTATACGGTATCCAGTATAGTATAGTATAAGATAGTATAGGATAGTATACGGTTGGATACCGTATACTATCGATGTAACAGACTGAAGAGGGGCGAAAGCCCGAAATGCGTTTCTGTATGAATTAAAAGTAGATGATGGAATTATTTGCCAAGTGTCGATAAATGCACCAAGTCGTGACATAGAATTAGAAGAAACAAGAAAAAGAAGACACGGTTTCGACAAATAACTTAAACTACGAGAGTGTTTAATGAATTGAAACTAAACTCTAATTATAATTTTTAAGATGTAATGAAATTAATATGTAAACCTTAAGTATTATTAAACGTACAAAATTAGAATTTCATATGTTATGAATATTTATAGAAGATTGTAGACAATTAATGGTAGAAAAAATAATTTACTTTATAAGTAATGAATATAAAGTATATGTTTCTATTCATTATAACTATTTTTAAAAAATTTTTCCTACAGTTAAGTGTACTTTAATTTTGTTGTTTAATAATTTTAAAATATTCCTGTTTAACATGATTGTGACTTAATTGTTCAGTGCTTTGTATAATAAATTTGTTTATCACAACTTAGTTATTCAAAATTTTGAATATTGCAATGTTTCAAATACTATAACAGGAGGAAACAATTTTCTATACAGATCAGAACAAATTTAGTGTAAATATAAAAATTTAACATTGTCATAGAATTTTATAAAATTATGGCAGATAGGAATTTAAAAAGGTTTTATGATTTGAATTCTGGGAAGTGAAAACATTGATAGCCTGTTATCAATAATAGAGAAATTTATCTTTTGTAATAAATCATATTAAAGAAAAGATGAAAATTGTTTTTCTTATATTTTAGTCAAAGCCGGAAGCTTTGACTAAAATAAATTTTTTAATTAAACTTTAATGATTTTTTTTATAATTAAAAATATTTGTCAATTATGACTGTCTCTCCTGAGATTAGAAAGGAAATGAAAAAATATCTTATAGATAGTATCAACTTTCTATGTTTTAACTTCTGTCAGATCCTGTTTAAATGCAGATGATAGCAAATAAGTTGTAATTAACAATTTAATGGACTGAATTTAAATGTTTAATGGGGAAAAATATCATTAAATAAATGCATAGGAATTCATGTAGTAAAAATGAAATATTGATAAATAGCAAATTCAAAGATTGAGGCTGTAAACCAGAGGCTGTCATTATACATGAGGCTGGAAAGTTGGCTTTTAGTTTATGGGGTAGCACAGTGTTATTTTATACAGTCAAATTTTAATTTCAAAAATTTAAAGAAGGGTAAATTTTTAATAATTAAATAATAATAAAACTGTGTGAAACTGTGACTCCCCATAATTAGTATTTTTCTAAATTCTTTAATAAATATCAATTTTTCTAAATAGAAAATTCTAAACTTTAAGAAAGAGTGCATGTTTTAGTTTTTAACAATATTTCTATTTTCATAGTTAATTTTATAATCAAATAATACCAAGAAATGTTTTCTTTAGGCTAGAGCGAGTGGTCTTCAGTCATGTGTCATGGTTATTCGGATTTTGAGGGATCTTTGCCAGAGAGTTCCCACTTGGGGTCGTTTAACGAGTTGGGTGAGTACAAAAATGTAATTTGTTTTATTTTTAAAAATTGTTCAGAAAGAAATTTTTATTCTTTTCATAAATTAGCAGTGAAACAAGATGTATGTGGATGAAAGTTTAACAATTTTATTTATTATTAATTTAATTAATTAATTTGGTATTAGCAAATTTTTCATATTTTTTTGTATAGTTCAAAATTATCATAAAAATCTAACAGTTATTATTTGATTTTTATGTTTTAGTTTATGGTTTATTTTCTATGCTTTTTAAAATTTTTACCATATACTTTTATCAAAGCTACAATAGAAATCTGTAAGAAAATAATTTCATAAAGAAAATTATGCTTGATTCACAATGAAAAACTAAATAAAATTAATAAATTATTTTAACATTAATAACATAAGTATTTTGATTGTAAATTTAACTTAAAAAGCAGTTTATTTTACATGCCTGATTTTGTAAAATAAATTTCAAATATAACAGATACAGTCAAAAAATTTTCTAAATAACTGACTATGAAAGTGGACAAAAATGTGAGCAAATCAAAATGTTAGAAATGAGCATTACAATGCACAAACATATATCAGTAGTACAGTAGAGCGTCGATTTTCCGAATCAATTGGGGACTGGGGTTGTTCATATAACTGATATTTCAGATAACAAATCATGTACGAAAAAATATATTAATTTATCCCATGTTGAAATTTCTCTCCGTTGCGTGTCGCTTTGCGTTGAATTTTTGTCAATGTTAAGCCTAATGAAGACTATTGTATCGTTAAAAATTATTTTTTTATTTTGTACAAACAAAATAAATATATTGAAAAATATAAAAACAATAAAAAATTATACTTCAGATGTTAATATCAAAAATGTAAAATATTTGAGTAGCCCAAGACATAGCCAAAGATTGAAGCTCCACAGCACTGGCGAAAATTTTAATTTGCCAACTGAAAATCTTTCGTATGATTGACTTTCGGAAAATCGACGCTCTACTGTAATTATATAACTAAATTACAAAATGTTTTATTTTGTTTTATCTTTATACATGGTAGGATCCAAAAGTTTGGGGACTGCAGTAATGTATGACAACAAAAGCATGTATTTGAAGTTATAGCATATGAAATTGATTCTATCAAACCTTTCCTACGTGTTCAGGGGTTGGTTTCACCCATGTCACATGATTAAATCGCGAGTGCTATTGTTTTCTTTCAGAGATAGTTATCTTTGTTTTGCGATGTAATAAAAGTGGAATTTCGAGAACAGTGCTGTAACATTAAATTTTGTCGGCAGTTAGGTAAAACACGTACGGAGACTTTAAAATTGCTAAGAAAGGTGTACGGTGATTTTGCCATGGCGAAATCAAAGGTGTACAAATGGCATTGCCGTTTTTAAAGAGGGCCGAGAATCCATTGCAGACGATGAATGCTCTGGCCGACCTTCGACTTCACGGAACGAGGAAAATGTTGAGTTGGTCTATCAACGTGTTTGCACAGATTGTCGCCAAACCCTTGAAAAGTTGCTGTGGCTACTCACTTATCAAAGACTAGTTGCCAGCGTATTTTAATGGAAGATCTTAACATGCACTGAGCAAAGGAAAAGTCATTATGGAGGTGTTTTTTGATTCTCAAGGAATTGTTCATTTACAATTTATTCTCGAATGCAGAACAGTAAACAAGGAGCATTATCTAGACATTTTATGTCATTTGAGGGAATCCATTCCTTGTAAACTGCCACAGATCTGGCAAGTGGAGACTGATACCTTCTGCATGACAACGCACCTGCACATCGGTCCCAAATGGTCAAACGGTTTCTTGCCAAAACTCAAATTAATGTGCTTCCACACCCTGCTTATTTACCGGACTTAGCCCTGTGTGATTTTTATTTGTTTCCATCAATGAAAAAGCATTTGCAGGGATGCTGTTTTGTGTCATCAGATGAGGTGAGAGCAGCATCACAGGAGGTCTTATGGGAGGTTTCAAAAAATGGCTTCCAGCAGTGCTTCCAGAATTTATATGAGCGCTGGCAAAAGTGTATCGTTGCCCAAGGTGATTACTTTAAAGGTGGTTATGCATCGGCAATATAAACTTTTTAAGGTAATGAATTTTAAGCCAAGTCCCCGAACTTTTGGATCGTACTACGTATATACATATATATATATATAAAGAGGATAAAACACAAAATAACAAATTTAAACATAAAGGAATCAAAGAATGAATGATTTATATAATGGTGCAAAAATTGCAGTAACCGCTGGCATACATTTTTTTTAAAGGTGTTTCTTAACACAAACTATTTTTGTAATTTAGAGGAAATAACAGAAAGGCATAATCAATATCATCTTTCTACAAAATCTGTGCAAAACTTGAGAGATTGCCATTCCAAAGTTTCTTTCCATGGTACACATCCTCAAATGCTTTACATCATCTCATAATTTTTTTCTTGATGTTTACATTATGAGCTTTAGTTGAAGACGGTTTAATAGAAATAACCATAAAGGATGGTGTATTTCTTTATTTATCATGCTGTCTTGCAAATCAAATTGTGAATGGTTTGCAAGAAGTATGGTGAAGAACTACCCGTGTCATGGGGAAGCAGTCAGCATTACTTTGACTTTACTGAGTTCCTGCCATAATTTCTGTACAGTTGTAGATCTCTGATGCTACCATTCATTTGATTGCTAGTTTAGTGCCAGCTTATACACTGATGCCCAAGTTTTGTTGATAGCAAAAATTTGATGGTGTTTCATCATGAATCAGTTCAGATGGTTTATGCTATGGCATATCTGTGCCACTTATCAGTTTTGGAGATGATGAGGGACCACTTTTCTGCAAATTTTTGCATGCTAATAACATTGTGGAATATGGCACACAGTAAAATTACTAATTCTGGCTTTGTTTGCCAAATGGCTCATTGTACAGTATTTATCATATTCAAGTAAAGATTGGACAAAACTGCATCTTCTATTGAAGATGCAATTTTGTTCATTCTTTGATGTGGGGGCATTCTGATCATTGTCACAAGTTCTTGATCACAATGAAAAACCTTTATCCATTGTGCAACAATATGGTAGGATATCCCTAAGTCCTAATAAATAGTATTGTGACACACAGTCACAATACTATTTTTATCTCATTGTGTAATTTAATTCTGTAAATGTGCTTTAGACTGTCTTCATGCATTAGCATTACTTGTTTCATAAGCTTACCACTCTTGTTCTGCACAAACACTAAATTAATGTTCAATATAGGAAATGCTTTCTGATATTCAATTATTTTATAAGTGTGCACTGCTATATTGCCACTAATTTTCACTCATACTCATGTATGGCTGTTTATAGTTTATGTATTATCAAAATTCGTTATTCATGCAATCTAGCTTTATCAGAAATTACGTTATAGTCAAATTATTTTATTTGTATTGAACAGATCATATTTTGATAAACTGTTTAACATGGTGTTAGCTAATTTTCTTTGGTTTTTTGCAATTTACCAGATTTGGAATATCTTCTGCACATTGCATTTTTGCTGAAATTTTTTCATGTCTGTACCATATTAGCTCTGTAATTGGTTTTATTTTATTAAAAACATACTCAGCTTTGATACTTTATTTTCTAATAATTAAGAGAAAAAGAATCAGCTAAATTAAAAATTTTATATCTATAAACAGGAACTGGTTTTTTCTGTTAATATTACTAAAATAAAAACGTGGTAAAACTTATAAATTGTTAAAGCACTTTCAGTAGAATAAGTTTCCTATCATATTTAATTTTATTTTATAACATTTATGCTTCATGATGATAAATATTGCAGTTTTTAAGGTATGTTGTTGTTGCTATTATTTAGTAAAATGAACATCAAAAGTTTTTTTGTTTCTACATATTAGCACTAGTCTCCCATGGTGCTGATGCTTTGGCTACCAAACAATAGTTAAGAAAAAAAAAATATTTCAGTTGTAATTAATAAAGAAGGTTTGAAAATTATGATTTATTATTTATTGACTTTTCAGTGAAATTTGTAAATTTATACATGCATGAATTTTATTTAAATTATTATTAAAAGTTTTTTTATACATTAAGAAGGTAGTTTTTATTTTAAACACCAAACTCAAAATGCAGACAAATTCCCTATTGAAGTTAGACATATAATTAGGATAATTCAACAGAAAGTTTTTTTTTAATTGAAATCAAAAACAATATGGAGATGAATAATGTAAAACAAGTGTCATCTATACTGTAATACTAAGTTTCTCTTAATCAATTGATTAAATCATGTAAAAAGAGAATGAATTTTTTTTCTTAATTTATGATAAATTAAACTTTTTAAATACAGAATTGAGTGTATTTGTATGAGAAAATTTGATTAACAGTACTGTTTAACAGTGCACTGACTAGATGGAAATTGCTGATTTTTGAATATTAGCTGAAGTTTAACATGTTGAAATTTTACTTAGAATGCAATTACAATTGTTCCTGTATAAAGAAATCAGATATTCCTTATGTACAAATAAATATTCTTTTAAAAAGTTCTAATTTTTCATCTCAATTGGAACAAAATTTGGTTTCATTGTTATAAATATTTTAAAATTAAATTAATAAAATTTTTGTAATTTTAAAGTTGAGTTATATAAACTATTTGAACAAACTCATTTTGATGGATATAATTATTTTATTTTAAGAATAAATGTAAATGTCTTTGTATATTATTGTCTGAGAAATATTTACAGAATTCAAAATGTTATATTTGATTTGTTTTTAATATTGGATTTTTTTCACATTCATAGTTGTTAAAAGTTACTGTTGTTAATTGTAGGCTATGGAATTATTAGTAGAAAAGGTTATAAGTAGTTCTGGACAACCTCTAAGTCCTGGAGATGCATTGAGAAGAGTTTTAGAAGCAGTAGCAGCAGGTTTACTTCTACCTGGTAAGTTTTTTTGCATTAAATGAATAATGTAATAATGTTCAAGAAAATTTGAATATAACGAAAATGAATAGTAAATTATGTAATACATGGAGTGCAATTTAGACAAGGAAATTTTCATTTTAATAATGATTTAAAAAGTAAGTTTTATGGTTTTTTAAAGTTTATTATAATAAGTAAAAGTATCACTAGTATCAAATAAAATTACAGTGGTGCCTCGTACAACGTACTTAATCCGTTCCAGGTGCACGTCCGTTAAGTGAAATGTCCGTTATACGAAACTCATTTTCCCATAGAAATACATGTTAAAACATATAATTCGTTCCGCAGCATAAAATAACCGTACTGTACCATAAAAAATGAAAATGGAGCAGACACCAATTATGCCGGATAGTCAGATGTTGTGAGGAGGAGGTGGAAGAACACTTTCTTTACACATTCATACAGATACAGACTTTTTACACATTGCAGCGGGTCTTTTTTATTGTTTTTTAATCTGAGTCAGATTCAGGAGAGGCTACCGGAACTTGTAGGGTCAACTTCTCTTGTTCCATCCTTTGTTTTTTGCCCGCTGGCTTCTTGAAAAACATGACCAAGGTGGTCTGTTTCTCTTTCTTCTTTAACACCTGTCGGAAATGACGGACAAAGGTGTCATCGTAGAGATCATTGATCCTGTTGGCCTCAGCTCTGTTTGGATAATGAGTGTTGGTAAACTCCTGAACCTCTCCCCATTCGACAAGAAAGTTTTTGTCAACTTTCACTCCTGATGATTTCTTGCTTTGTTTCAATTGAAATCACCTTTCTGTTTTCTTTTTTTTTAGAAGCCATGATGCATTATAAATGACTTAACTTGCCAGATTATATGATACGAATAATTCTTTATTAATTAAGATCACTAAACACTTCTACGAGCTACTCTCGCTCCGTTTGTTTTTTACAACCTCTTTTCGTCCCGCCACCTCGGCATCTACACAATTACATTTCGTTTATTTGAATCGTCAACATATACTGTATTACATTACATTTAATGTTTATTTAAATCATCAACATATATTACATTGCATTTCTACTTCAGATATACTAATAGTACATTCTAATAATACTAATATATCCTAAAAATAGCAGATTGTCATTGGCAACGGCAAAAGAGTGGAAACATCATTCGCACTTGTTCGAAAAAAGTCCATTGTTCGTCTCACGTAACTGCCGAACGGAAAGTCCGTTATTCGTAGCATCCGTTATTCGAGGCGTACGTTATACGAGGCACCACTGTAATTATAAATGAAAATTAGAAAAAACAAAAGTACAAAAGCAATTAATAATTAATATATCTTGTTAGATTGATTATTTAGGTTCTTATAATAAGTATCATATTACTTTCTATATTTATATAACTTTTAGAAACTAATGTATATATATGTTATACTTTTTCATTTGTTTAAAATTAGTATAGTCCAATTTCATGTGCCCTCTTTATTACCATGTCAAGGCTTCTAGATATGTAAATTCATAAATATAATATATTGCAATGCATTTTTATCCTTTTAATTTGATATCAATAAAAAGTAAAAAATGTTTCTTTATTTAATATAAAATTAATGATTGCAGGCATCACATTCATCCTGTTTTTCTTAATTTTTTTTACTTTTTTTAATCATACTTTCTTATTTTGAGAAATTGTTCTGTCATGCTTTCTGTCTTTAAATGATAATACAAGATAAGTTTCTCTAAATGAAGTATTTTCTTAATAATGCATAACTTTTGACTTTGCTACTAGTATTCACATTTGCATAAGTAATACAAAATCTTGTAGTTACAAGACAGTAAACCTTAAATTTGTTTAAATTAAAAATTTAATTTGCTTTATCTGTAATCTCAACAATAATTTTTCTAATATTTATTCAAGTCCCAATGAAAATCACTAGGGGAAGATTATAGTTCTAGGTTTTTTTATGATGCTTTTTTCCATTAAATTTGGAGAATGTTTACTGATATTTAATTAGCAACATTAACTCCAGGTGTAATATGTTCAATAATGTTTTTTATTTGCACTAAAGTACTTTGATTTTGATGTATAGTACTTTCAGCTCTGATAAAGCAGGACATTTCCTGAGTTTTATTATTGTGTCATTTCATTAGACAGTGGAATCCCATTTTAAGATTTATCCTGCTTATACATTTTTTGGAGCACTAGTTGGACTACTAAAAGAATTAAACTTTGGCTTCAATTTAATGTTTCTTGATTTTACACTATGATTTTTTTGGAACTACACATCCAAAGATGATTTCAGTTTAATCAATTTAAATTAATCAGGGTTTGTACAGACTTGGAAAGTTGGGTAATAAGATTTTTAGCAGGAAAAGTCAGGGAATCCATAAATATTGCAAAATTCACCCGTTTCTCTCACTCCTTTTTGATTTGAACATGTCTTTAAATTCAGTTAGGTATAGGTAGGTCTATGAAAACTGGAGTGACCAAACAAATGACAAAATTTGTTGCATTACATCTCTTAAATGATAATCTAATGATTTAAATTTTGTTGGATAGAAGGTTTATTAAACATCCTTATTTTAAATGGTGGATAAGTGGGGTTATGCAGCTGTGTGAGGAGGGGTAGCACTGCATGTAAACACTGGAAATTGTGATGTGATGTGCTGTGGCATTTGGGCAGTGAAACTTTGGATTGCAAAGAGATAGGATGTTGAAATTGGTGTAAATTTGTACAGAATGACAGGACTACAACAATAATTAGCAATAATAACTGATAAAATAAAATTTGTAAAGTTATAAGTCGATAACTGTGCTGGTTGAAGAAAATTTTCATAATGTCAAAGAAATTGCAAAGGAAATATGAATAGAAATGTAAAAAGCATATCATTACAAAGAAAAATTTAAAAGGAATCAGAAAAGCCCAGAATGACTAATGCCAAATGATGCAGATTGTATAGTGTGTGTATGTGTGTAAGAAAACAGTGTGTGTCAACTTCAACAATATTTTGATTGCATTGCCACCTGAATCAATAGATATTGACTTAGTATTTATTCATTCTAAGACTTTATTCATTCACACCTTATCCTTCTTCTAATAACACAAAGATGGATTTGTGTCTTAAACAATTGTAAATGTTGTTGAAAAATAAAAACAATCCACAGTGATGATGCAATGGAGATTGTTTTTATTGGCTTTGGCTTTATAATGCATCAAATTTGCTGAGACATGCACCTGGAATAACTTTCTTGAACCCAAGTTTGTCGTTTATGATGGGATTCACTGTTCTGAGTGATATGCCAAGAATGTCCACAACCACCATGAATTGGTTCATCACATGTGCCACCTGCTCTGGGGTGGACACATATGTAGGGTGTACACTGCGCTCCTTATCTTTCAGACTCAACATGCTCGAGTTGCCAGTGCATACAGTCCACACACACCTCCTGACAATGCTAACATCAACACAAGCTTTCCCATAAGCAGCGCTCATTTGATGGTGGATATTAATAGGTGGAACACCTTTCGCCATCAGAAATTTGATTATAGCAAGTTGTTTTTAAGTTTGTCCGTGTATTATGACATTTTGCATTCAACTACTACAAAGTCAGTGGTGCCATCTGAGAAATGCCTACATCATCTGGAAGCAGGAACTTCAAATTTTCTCTTGAATGTAATATCTTTCACTCTCATCAATTAATAAATGAGTTAAAGTCCAGGAGGCACAACTTATTGAACAACTTTCATATACAGTGGAACCTCGGTATACAACCTTAATCTGTTCCTGGTGTTTGGACTTATACCGAATAGGACGTATACCAAACCAACCTTTTCCATAAGAAGTAATGTAGAAATGATTAATCCGTTCTCATGTAAAAAAAAATGGCTGGCTTTAAACACCTCGCTTTCCTCGCTAGTTTCTGCTTGATTTTTCATGAGACAGCATGTATCCTTTTTAACTTTCTCGCAAATAATTTCTTCTGATACGCTGTCGCCGGCACACTGTTTTTCAGTTATCCAAAGCAAAAGCAATTTCTCAACATGATCTAATGTCTTCAATCTATGTTTAGAAATTGATTTAACCCCTTTCGCAACGTTAGCAAATTTAATAATGTCTTTATTTTTCACGATTGTAGATATCGTCGTTCTTGGAATACGGAATGCAACAGTTAAATCTCGTTAAATCTCGAACACGCGTGCCACCTTCATATTTCTCAACAATCTCTTTTTTCAGTTCCGTTGTGTTTCTAGTCATTTTTTTATTTTTCTGTTGCCCTTTTGCAATTCATGATTAATACAGATAATAAAATGTTACTTACAAATTAAAATCAAAAGAAATCTAACAAAGTTATAAACCGTAGCACTGTGAACGTCTAGTCTAGTGTAGTACACCGATAGTGTTACTTGTTCATAGATGGCGCGTATAATTGAATTAAGTCGTATACCGAACAAAAGTCGTATACTGAGCAAAATTTGTTTCGTCCAAACAGGACGTATTCCGAATTGGACGTATTCTAAAGCAGACGTATACCGAGGTTCCACTGTATTATAGACTGTACTTACAAAATAGTATGTCAAATATGAATGAATTTTCAAAAATTATAGTTAGAAATAATAATTTGTAAGCTTTTGATTTTGTTATGTTGTTAATTTTTACTCTAGTTTGCATATGAATGTCTTTATTTATCCATATTTTTCAAAATTTGTTTTACATTCATGTGCATATAACTAATGTAAATTAACAAAATACTTAATTTACATAACTTTTATTGTGGGATGCATCATTATATTTATTATTATGTGGTTTGTGACTGAAGGGTCAGCATTGTATCCGTGGTGCTGACCCTTCAGTCACAAATGCACACCTCAAATTCGAATTAGTGCAGTATTACTTTTAATAATTTAACATTCAGGACCATATTAAGGAGATTAGTAGAATTAAAAGAATTGCAACAAATCTAGGATACAAAACTGCCACAATAGAAGGCCTGGTCAAAGGTTACAGACAACATAAAGGCAAAAAACATACTAAAGTAGATGCAATTAACAAATTCAGATACAATAAATGTATAGGAGGAGTGATGAATGAATTGAGTACTTATAAAAATGCAAGAATGGTATATAAAAGAGCATCCAACATCTGTAGCTTAATAAGGAACGATAATGACAGCGTAAAAATGCAAGAGAAAGCTGGAGTTTATAAAATACCATTTGAGAATCAGGAATTGGGAATAGCAAAGGATTATGTTGGGTGTAACCAGAAGAAACTTAGCAATACGTCTGCGAGAACACAAATACAATGTTAATAAAAGGCACAACACCAACATTTTAGCAGTCATGGCACAGACAGAAGGAGCAAATGTAAAATGGGATGAGGCAAAAATCATTAAATGGTCCAATCTTCATCCATTTCATTAAAAATGGAAATATATAAAAGTAAAATGAAAAACCGTTGCATAAATGCCAAGAATGCTAATATGCTTCTAACAACATGGAAGTACTATACATGATAGAAAAAACATGGGGATTAAAAACCCTTAAAGCTTGTAGTTTTTATTGTGTTATTTATTTATGCTATTTAATTTATTTTATTTACTTTTATTTATTTATTGTATTGATTTATTTTTTTCATTTATTTAATATATGCAATTATTGTAAAAATCTTTTAAATTTAAAATGAAATGTATTTGAAAAACATTGAGTTTCATTTTGGAACGGTAATTGTAAGCCTGAAGATGGCCTATAATAAGTAGGTTGAAAATGTTTGAGAATAAAATAATTTATGCTTGACAAAAAAATTCAGGTGTGTTGTTATAATTAAAAGTAATACGAGGGCTGTTCAAAAAGTATCGGACCTTTGGTTGGCAAAAATACATTTATTGATTTTGAAGTACAAAACCCTAATCCCCTTCAAAGTAGTCTCCTTGGTAATGTATACACTTCTCCCAGCGTTCCTGCCATTGCTGGAAACACTGCTGGAACGCATCTTTTGGAATGGCCATCAGCCGATCCGTTGCATTCCGCACAATGTCTTCTCTTGACTAAAATCGGGTTCCTTTTAGTGGCATTTTCAGCTTGGGAAATAGCCAAAAGTCACACTGAGCCATGTGGGGAGAGTATGGAGTGTGACGAACCACAGGAATGTTGTGTTTGGTGACGAAAGTTCGAATCAGATGCGCAGAATGGGCGAATGCGTTATCACGATGGAGCTGCCAAGTTTTGATCAACCATAGATCCGGTTGTTTGCGTCGCACAGCATCAGAAAGACGACAAAGGATCTCCTGGTAGTACTCCTTTGCGATGGTTTGGCCTTGTGGTGCGTACTCACGATACACCACCCCACAAGAGTCGAAAAAACTGTCAACATGACCTTGATATTGCTGTGGACCTGCTGCGCTTTTTTTTTGGCCTCGAGGATCGTTCCCGAAAGCCTGCTGAATCTTGCGAATGGTTTCCGCTTGGGTATCGCCAAGCTTTTGGCAAAATTTGATGCAATATCGCTGCTCACGTTGTTCAGTCACTTTCCAACTTAGTGGAATCCGACGAGAGCTCACTACATGTCCTCACTCATTGGCCGACTGCCAACAACTGACGCTTCCTGCAGACGGGAAAAAATTCAGGGCTGTGCATGGCTGTCCCCTCCACAACTCCACCGAAAGAGGTCTCCCACATATCATTGGTTTACGTGGAAAAAATAAAAGTCTGATACTTTTTGAACAGACTTCGTGTACAAAGTATTTCAAAAATACATGGCATAATCTCAAGGATAAGCTCTTTAAATGTAGACAATAAAAATAGTTTATATCCACAAAATTTTGGAAATGCCTGATTTCTGAGTTATTAACAGGAATGTCTTGTCTTCGGGTAATTTTCTTCATCACAAGGTACTGACAGAATCTGTTAAGTTTTCTGTTTTGACTGTGTATTCAAATCAGGAGTAAGCTGATATGCAATCTAACAAATGTGGAAAAGTTAAATATGTTGGATCTGTGTTGTTATAAACTATTTTTACTGTCTACTTATGAGGAAATCATTCCTGAGGTTATACCATTTATTTTTGAAACACTATATTTAAATATTCGATAGTATAATTCACGAAGTATAGAAATTTTTTTTAGTCTAATGTGAATTTAGAAGATAGACAAGTTTCATGTAAGAGATTGCATTCTATAAATAGACAAGGAGGAGTTTATAAAATAGAAAGGTATAAAAGTGAAAACACACATCTCAATATATAAGATTAAACAAATCTTTATCTACAAAATAGATGCTCACAATTGAGACTGCTTTTCTATCATTAGTTTGTATCTTAGAAATGACAAAGTTTTGTAAAGAAGAATTGTATAACTCAATATAAAATCAGATTATAAAGAAAAACATTTTAGATATATAGAGAGAGCATAATCAATATTATGATGTAAGCTTAGAGGAAAACAATCTTAAAAAGATGATAGATTTTTTGTTTTGAAAGTATTGCATGAATGCATTTCAAATATTGGAATAATTTTTTTTAAATTTTGTATATAAATTTCCATGACAAATTTTGTTTTATCCTATTTGTCCCATTAAAACTGAGAGAATTTTTTTTTGTATTCATTTACCTTAAACAAACTAGAAAAGTATCTGCATGTTTAAGTTATTTATAAGAAAGAATTGATATTAATTTTCACAAATATTAACTACACATTTTTTCAGGAATACAATTCTCATGTAAATTATAATTGCAATTGTATTTGCTTCTGTCTTAGATTAGTTTAAATCAGCTAATAAAAGTTAATGTTCATAGCAATCCTGGAAAACTTGGCATTTTCATGATTTGGAAAATAGATTTTTATGGAAATTGCTGCTCTGTGTTATTGTTATATTCTTTTATCCAAGTTAATTGATTAATTGATGCAGTGTGAGTGCAAAGTTTCATTCATTTGTGATATAGAAATTTTCTATGACATCTAACTTCTTCAAATAAAAGGGATCATTCAGAAACAAGTTATCAGACATTGAGTGCTCACTTTCTGAATGAATTAGTTGGCTCAGAGTCCATCACTTATCAAACAGTCAGTGAGCATCTGTTAAAAAATAATTCCTGGCAGAGATAGAGATTACATAACGTATTTTTTGATGATGTACTGTTGTAGGTGAGTGTGTGTGTGTTCATGCATAAATTTAATTGATGTTAATTAAATAGAAATTAATGTTATAAACTTCTATCAGTTTATAATTTCTGGTTACAATTAGGTAGATGTGCTTTCTGTTGATTGTCCTAGAGGAGATATTTTGACCTGTAGGTGGTCAGCTGTCTCACTATTAAGGTCCAATTTATATTACCAAGCCATTAGTCCTGTTAAATATTTATGAATTGTATCCAATGTATAGTACTAGACCAAGAACTGAAAGTTACTCAGTGTAAATAAGTACAGTACATTGGACACAATTGAATAAATATTTGACTGTATTGTGAGTAGAGCATGACAGACCATGAGTTGATTGGTGGTGTGGATTGGGCCTAAGTTACTAGAATTATATTTCTAAGTTAAAACTTAAATATAATTCTAGTCTGAGTTATGCATCATGTAATTTTTGACTGTAATATCAGTGCACTGATTGGCAAGAGATGGTAATTTACTTTTGTCATCGACTGTAGAAAGAGTTTTATATTATGATCTTAATAATTTTGCTATAAGTACAGAACAAACTTAAGATCTTACAATATTAGGGCACTGGAAATTTTTGGCGATAACACGGAAATTTGGGGAAATTTACGTGACAAACTGCTACGGACCCTGATAAGTTGTTTGGTTAAATGATATGTTTACACACTAACATTTCCATTTTTAGTAGACAAATGTGTAGGCAGCTATCTTATGGATTGCAGGCAAATTAATCTACAAATGTATGAATAACAATTTGAATTAATATGTTAGACTTCAAATATTTTTTCACGTTTTTTATTTTGAGTAAAGTAACATATTTGTGTTAATTATTCATCCCAGATAAAAAAAAAAGTTAGTATATAAATACGTGAAAATAAACGTTTAAATATACATAAAAATACATGCACACAATATTTCATAACAACTAACAAGTAAGATAAATATTCCATCCATTTATATGTAATGCAAATTTAACTTGTATGATTTATTTACAGGTGGACCAGGATTATTTGATCCGTGTGAAAAAGAACCTCTTGATGCAGCTGGTTGTTTAACCAGTCAAGAACGTGAAGATATAACAGCCAGTGCACAAGTTAGTTTTCGTATTTACAAAAACGATATATTTATCATTTATATATTCATAGCATTTACTTTATGTATACTGCCTTACAGCACGCATTACGTCTTATTGCTTTTCGTCAAATTCACAAAGTATTAGGCATGGATGCTCTACCGCCACCCAAATACCCTCGTAGCCAATTTCCCCGAAAGCGTAGACGCGACAATAGTTCGGGAGAAGGGAATGATTCGGAAGGTAAATACGAGTAAATTACAAGCTAAACTTTTGTTAAACATATCAAAGTTACTAATCGTTTTCAAATATTTAATAGGAGCGGATGGCAAGAAAGATAAAAAAGACGAATCTGATAGCAAATCGGAAAATATGGAAACTACCGAAAGTCAAGAGAAACCATAAAATTCCTACCTACCAAGATATAATTCATTCCTTTCTTGTATACGTAGACTTAAGGAAGCTACACGTACAATAATAAAACTTGCAGTTACTGAACAGTTTATTAGCTACATTGTATGCCATTGTCATCTTTTGCATCTAAGTGATTGTGAACTTCCCTTTGACACCATTACCACTGTTGCATATTATAATAGAAATATCATTGTTATTTGTTTTCATAATTGTAATACTTAGTTTACATAGATATTTTTAATTCATGTATTAAGTACACATCTTTAAAGACTCCAATCTGAGAGTCTATTGTAAAAGCATATTTGATTTTATTCAATATTTCATTTCTTGACAAATAAAATATAGAAAATGTATGTAATATACGTTTGTAACAATTAGTTGAGTTTTTTCAAAATAAGTAGCTAACTACTAAAAAATGATTACATATGTATATCATGTATGTAATTTTTGATTATATAAATTGGAACTGGGCGGTAAAGCTCTGAGATTTTGACGATATGCGGTTGAAATATTGTTGATAAATTAGAAACGTCAAGGTTATTTTCTTGTATTGAAATTCAGAAAAAATTTAACAAAACAAAATTTAAATATTTCGTTAAAATAAAGTAACTTCAACTGATGAAAATAAACAGTTATAAGTACTTAAATACATGAAAAACACCAGTTTTTGACGTGGAATTTCATGTATTAAGAAATGATGAAACTTCAGTACTGTTTATAAGAACACCTTTGAACAGATTATTAATTTCTTATCACATGGAAAGAAAAGATTGTATTAATATAGACCTAGGGTTTTCGGGAAAACATTTTTCACGGCCGTGCACGAGCAGTTACAGAAAATGTCTTGTGATCGCACTCATATGAAAACAATAAGAATCTGTGGTAACGTGTGCGCGCGCGCGCGTTTAGGATTTCATTGTCTGATATGACCAATCAAAAATTGCCAAAACGACTGATAGTGATTGAAAAGCTACAAAAACGGCTCCCTGGATTTAAAAATCGCGCAGAATTGACCTGATGACCACATTTGAAGATCTTTGATCTAGACCAGGGGTGTCCAAGGCAAGTTCCAATGCGGCCCAATAAACGTAAACAAAATCGACAAATTTATTTATTTATTTATTTCAACGGCATAAACAAAAAAAGTTTCACAAAGCCGTAAACCTTATAGATATTTTATTTTTGTGTGTAAAAGAAAATATTTTCAAATACTTTGAAATGTGTGATTGAGAAAGGAATACTAAACAAAGCTGAGTTGTGATTTAAAAGACCTCGCGTTTCTTTATGCAGCGCTCGAGAAGCGCTTTACAGCGAACACACTGAAACTGGTTTCTAATTGGCCAACACGGCTCGTGACGTCATTTCGCTACACTCTCGCTGCATAAAGAAACGTCAGATTATTGGCAAGCGCCAAATCCGACAGAGGGCGCTGTTTTCAGCCAAGATGGCTGCCGAAACAGGTAAGGAACCGACCATGTCTTTGTTCAGTGCCTGAGCCGATTCAGGTTCCATCTGTGGCGTGCCATGACATTTGATGACAGGGAAGCTGGTTTCTGTAAGAAGCCGACTTCCAGGGCAATCAGTTAATTACGCGTCAGTGATGGTCTAGGGTCCATTCGTATTCGTTTGTTCGATAAACAGTAAAAACCGTACTTCTCTAAATGTATTTTTTATATCACAATTACATTCTGAATCGCTAGCCACGATATAAGGGCTACAATTAAAAATAAAATAATAATAATTTACTTGGTGAAATAAAATGTGTGGTGGATTTGGTGCAAAATAGTCTTCAATTGTATGAATATACTTTTAAAGAAAATTATAATTAAATACTGTATAGGTTTGTAAAGAAACGTACATAAAAATAACATAAAATATTCTTTACGTTTTAAATCTTAAAACAATCCACTTAGTCAAATAGCTCCCTACGAGTGACTAATGGATGAAATCAGAGATCGTCCTGCAGTGCATGCATGCACGCGGGCTGCCAAATCCCGAGTGCCGATACTGGTCAATGTCAAATGCCTCTTTTGTCGCATCGTTTATATACCTCAAAGGACGCGACAGGGTTGTTGTAGATTTTAAACGTTTCTCGCCATAGCTGTAAAAATCTAAATATGTTAAACTTAATAGATTGTCCGTCATTTGTTTTCTTTAGGACCAGGTGTCCACGGAAATTTTCAAAATTTACTTTTCAGTCACTCTCATTGAACTGGAAAAATTTCTGCCTTTATTACATTTAATATTACGAAGAAATCAGTCCCACTGCACTCGGCTAGACTAGTTCGGTTAACCACCAAAGTTTAATAGCATCAATGCCTCATATGCTTCAAGCTACTGTATCAAATTTTATTTCTTAATCATTACCTCATCCTGAGATATTAACTCTTACTTGTTAGATATCCTATTGTCTCCTTGTTATAGCTTGCGGATAAGAGGCATTGATGCTATTAAACTGGTGGTTTTGAGTCGCTACTAAGAGAGCGAACAAGCTTTCTTGGTAGTGACTCAAATTGACAAATCTTGTGAAGTAACGACTCGAAAGAAATTTTGCTAATAAAATGGCGTGTTGTGACAGATGCCAAATTTTAAAGTTCGTAGAACGGGAGATTTCAGAGGTCAAAGATTATCGTCTATCCAACATTCGAAATACGGCGAAGTTCTTCTTGCCAAATTTTTTAAAATGCCTACTTTTCCCCGTTTTTCTTGAAAAATTGACCCAGCATATCTTAACGTATTATACCTTGCACAGAAATTCTTCTCAAGAAACAATTAATAACGACAGTACATCGAATTTCGGATTCCCATTATAAGTATGTAAAAAATTCCATTTAGTTCTATTAATTATTATTATTTTGTTAAATACAGGAGTATTTTAAACTACATTAAAAGTAGCATGTGTAAAATACCCTTACCACGTCGTCTTTTTTTTTTACGTAAGTTAATGTTTTCATTCGCAGTGTCTAGCTTTTATTATAATCTCATTCTACTATATTCACATTCTGTATTTATCATTGGAATGTGTATTACATGTGTTAATTAATAAATTTCTGCTTTTCGTGCACATTCGATTTAATATATGAGAAATACTGGTAAAGCAATCATTTGGAATATTTTTCACTTGCTGTGTTTACTTTTGAAAAAAATTTTATGTATATAATTAACAAAAAATCATTTGAATACAAGTAAACGAATCATTACAAGAATTTGAATTTAAATTTTAATGTCGAAGATAAGTCAAAAGTAAATTGTTACCAAGCCTCTTCGGCCATCGGTCGTATCGACCGATGTTACCGCTTCCCGGGACGTGGACCCAGAGGTTGGATTTTGGGAAGCGTGTTCGTGTTGTGAAACGGTGTTGTTTATAATGCACGTGAATGGAATCATTGGTGATTGGATGCGATGAATGTATCGTTGTTTGAACTGTGTGTTTCAGCGTGAGTGATGTTGTTTATGTGCGTGGATGTGAATCACTAAACTAATGTGAGTACAACAAGGGGGAAAAAATAAAAACCCCTTGTCTTCATACATCTAGATTAGTAAATTAAATTTAAGGTTTTAGTTTCAATGATAGTATAACAAGAGGAAAAAAATAAAAAACCTCTTGCCTTCTTATCTTAAATTAGTAAATAGAAAATGAAACCTTAAATTTAAATGTTAATATGACAAGAGGAAAAAATAAAAAATAAAAAACCTCTTGCCTTCTTATCCTACGTTAGTAAATTGAAACTAAAACCTTAAATTTAAATGTTGTTAGTATGACAAGAGGAAAAAACAAACGAAAAAACCTCTTGCCTTCTTATCCTAGGTTAGTAATATCCTTCAGAAATAGCAAAGGAAAAAGTCGTTCGCATCTCTTACGAAGCGACGCTTTTTCCTTTGCATCCTTGCCCACACCGAACGAGAGGATCCCACTCGTTGGAAAAGAGAGGAATGATCGAAACATTCCTCCCCTCCCAGTGCGTCAAAGATGATGTCGTCAACATGGAGACATTTCACCTTTCGAAACACGTCCGAATGGCGAAATGCCTCCTCTCCGTTCAACGCGGAACAGAGAATGTTGTCGACACCTCCTATTCCTGAAGGCGATCCAGTGAAGGAAGAACCCCTTCCGCAATCGATGGAAGAGAGTTCCTCTCCCCGCTCAAAGGGGGAAAAGACCCTCTCTTCATCGATTGCGGAAGGAGAACGCCCTTCACACTTCTTCATCTTCTTGGGCCGCAGCCAACGCCAAAACCGCCAGCTCTTCATTCTGTAAAGAAACAAAAAATATATATTAATGGGATTCGGATATATTTAACAACTGGGTACAAGATAATACTCACGACAGAGTTCGCGCTAGATCCTACCGGAAATTGCTAGAACGTTCGAACTCCATTTGCAGTAGAGACGACAAAAAACACGGACCAACCCGGAACGAAGAAACTCTCTTTCGCGTAATTTGTATTTGTAGGACAGAAAAGTAAAGCTACACCGCACGTAGCGCAGCCATGCGAAAAAGACATTCGTATTCGATCGCGAGCCCAAGTCGTGATAAGTGTTTCGTTCTACAGCAACTTACCCTAACGTGCGTACAAGCAGTCCGTCACCTAAACGCAACGACAGCACTTAAGAGTTTCGTGCAAAGAAATTTCGTACGAGAGTCGACGAAAACACAACACGTGTCCGGGACACGAACGTTTAAGTGGCAAAAAGCATTTGCAGAGGGTTACGTAAGTGTGGAATATGGACTGCACTCAGAAATGACCACATTGTGAAAAGAGACAGCTTAAGGAAAATAATTCTTTGTGTTCAGCCTGTATAGATAACTATTAAGTGTATTAGAAGTCGCACAGTTGCAGACAGTTCAATTCTCGCAAAGTGAGCCATTGAAAAGCGTTGTAACTAATACATAGATTCAATGGAGAAGTCGGGGGTCAAAGGGCGAAATTTTTGACGTCCAGTTTGTGTCGAAGGAACATCTCATGCTACAGAATACGGTCTCCGTTTAACCTTCGGCCCATCCGGTTTCGAGTGTATATTTTAGTTAAAATTACGATACTCTTTGCGATGCAATTCGTATTTAGAGTTAGTATTAAATACGTTTTTAACTGAATTTCTATATATAAGATCCTTATTCTTTGACCGTGTTTATAAAATATAATCTAAATTAATTACGAAAATAAACCAATGAACAAATACTTAATCCTTTGCGTCCATCGTTTTCGGGGCTTTGGTCGTTTAAAAGTCGTTTCGGATGGTAATTCAAACGAAAAGCACAAGCGACGGCAGATTTAAACGCAAATATGCAAAGTCCGAGTCGGCCTATGTCGTCTCCGAAAGTTGCACTAAACCAAACGAAAATAAAATCTTATAGCTAGCT